GAAACAAATGCATATATCTACTGTTCATACATCAATATTGTTTAATATATAACAAACACCTGTCTTTACCTATCACTATAAAATGGCATATTCAGTAATCACTGCCCCACTGCAAAACAAAATTTAACTTAAAAATATTTTCTTGTTTTTTTTTTTTCTATTATTTTCTTGTTTTATATAATACATAGTAAATAGGTACCTATGCAAAGCAAGTTGTAATTCTTACGGTATAATAACACCCATGTTATTATAGTGATTGAATAAAACAAAATAATATACTGATAATTGTATAACAACAACATAATACAGTTTCTTATTCAACACCGAAAGGTAAGTTGATAAAATATATAAAATATGACATTATTACGTAAATTAAAAAAAAAAATTTAGGTTTAGGTTATATTGTAGGTGCTTCGTTGAAAAAAACCCATTACCTATTTTTCCTTATAAGAGGTGACTAAATATAATCAAAACGTTGAAAAACAAAAAAAAAAAGTGTATAATTTTCTCCGAAGTTTTGTTCAGCTTAAGTACGAAAATTAAAACACGTCACACGATATCATCAATATTAATATTATTATGTATGCATAAGTTATTCCTCGTATGTATTCCAAGAGATGTGTTATTTACTCATGTTATAAAAATATTAAATATTAGAAAGTAACTATTAATGTATAGAATATATCGAGTAAAAGTATTATTGTAACACAGATAGTAAATTTCATGTAGATACTATTGCAAATTTAAAAAAAAAATTTCAATCACCTGATTTGTCAAAAATTTATAATTTTGTTAATATAAATTTATATTATCAAGTTTAAACATAAATCTACACGGAAATTCTAATTAGTATATAAAATATAAAAAACTTCGGGCAAGTGAAATAGCTTTTAGTTTTAAATCTACATTATAACATTAAATGACGAAGAAATAATTCGACTTAACAATATTTAGAGATTGAGAAAGTTTTAAATTCGTTTTTAAAACATTGTAGTGTGTTTACAAAAAATCCATTAAGAAAATTATGAAAATTAAATTATCATTATAAACTAATTCATAACTTTGCAAATACATTAAAATCAATTATTACAATAATATGTATTGACTTTAGAAATAAAATCTTTTGATATATTAATTATAGGTATAACACTATAGAATGAATAATATATTATATAATATTATTTTATTTTTACTTTGTTTCATTTATATATAGGAAAAGGTTTTTTTTACCAAAATCAATAACAAAATACAATTAAATATAATATACAGATTAGTAATGACTAATGATATTTCACCTATATGAGGTTTTAACGGTTATTATACTATAAGTATAATTTATTTTTAATTCAGTTAAATTCATATGGTTATATTCAATATTGTTTTAAAGAAATTCATTTTGTATTAACCTATATTATGATTTTATGTTTTAAATCAAAATATAATAATATATTATATAAAAAAAAAAAATCATATTTATACAATCTTTATCGAGAAATTAACACAAGGATTAATGCACCTATATTTATGTTTATGTATTTATAAATATATTTTTGAAAAGAATACCTACACAGAATAGATTATCTACTTAGATTGTGAACATCATTTAATTTTAAACTATGAAACATAAGGTATCGTTGGGCTTATAGTAACATATTTAGCTTTGATAACATTTAACTCATAATTATTAAGGTATAAATTGTGGTTTAATGGTTTTTTTGACATGTTAATTTTTTTTTTTTTTTTTTTTTTAATGCTTTTCACCATTACAATTTTTATGAAGGTGTGCCTTCATTTTATATAAGAATTGAAAATAGAAACCATTATGAAACAGAACGTTTGCAAAAAGTCTTTTAAGTTATCTCAAACAAAAGTATTTAATAATAATTTAAAACTTATATTGCATGAGATAGTTTTCATTGGCATATAACCACCAACTTAGTCTGCATCTTGCCAAAAATTAAATTGTGTGTGTTTCATTTTATCTATTTCGTATATTCATGTACAACTATGTTCAACACTTGTGAAATAAATATTTACTCTCCTTATTCAAACTTATACTGTATTAAATTTATTATAATTGGCGAATATCAAACGATTAATAAATCAAACCGTAGATAACGATATAATATATCTATAGGAGTTGTAAACGGCCATAATTGAATTTATCTTTATGTGTAGGGTACACTAATGTCATCACTACTCGAATACATATATAGTGTGTACATTTAACACATGAATATTAATACTAGTATATTTTGTAAATTACAATCAGAAATACATGTACAAACTTGAGAATTAAAAAAAATAATATGTATTGTGATTGTAAATGTTCAAAACCATTTGCAGCGAGAGAAATGCTCACTGCAATCAGTGAAAACCCTGCATAATATTATAATATACCTACTAGTTCTAGTTAAATATTTACACGTTGTATGTTGATACTCGCTAAATAGAACATTTATATAATTGTATAACCTTGATAAAATAGAATCCCAAGGGTCTTTTTAATGTAGGTATAGGAACTGTGGTATTCAACCCACTTCTAAAGCCTTTAATTTAGCCCTGATTGAACAAATTGAGAAATAAAAATTGAATTAATAATTAATTGTACACAAATGATGAAATTGAATCTATTAAAATATAAATATATGAATTGTAATACCTAACTATATTATACATTTAATAGAGTTATAAATAGAAAGGTATACCTATATAGACGTATAGTTTATACGGTATACCTGTACATTGATGGATTTTTAAATTACAATAATCTAAAGATTAACTCATCCATAAAATTTGAAAAAAAAAAATAATAACGTTTATCGTATGATTGCATGATTAATCATGGTACATTATTATAATCCGTAGTCATATCGCTATGAACTATGGATCATACATTTAATATCTTATTATTTTATTGTGAATATGTGATACTAGTTTTTTATTATTGGTGATTTAATGACTTCGTGAATTTAATTAAAAATTCAATATTTAAAATATGTGTCACCTATGACCGGTTAGGATAAAAATTATATTGTATTTCTTTCAACTGAATTATCTTCAATCACAGTATGGATATTACCGTATTAAACATGCTTGCCTCTATTCCAAAACTATCAATAATCCGATCACTATTTTATTACAATAAAATTATAATATGATTTCGACGTGCAATCAATTGATTCGTTAATTTAGTTTGATAGTAAAAGTGTTAGACTTGCATCTACCCCCACTAAGTACAGCTTTTACCGGGGGTAGGAAAAGCACGACACATTGCGAAAAATTATTATCGATCATTGGATATTGTAACTGTGATGAAGCATATTTTATATGCAATTAAATGCAAGTTGAGCTATATTTGTCTATATTGATGGTTTTTATATAAAGTACCCGGCAACTGAAGAATACATTTTAATTAACATCTACAAATGTATAAATTTAAAATAGAATTATAGATACCTTTACCCGGCGCCTTATTTGTGTCATCGTGGGATGTAAAAAAATTACATTCTCTACTTAATATTCTTATTGGGGTGAGTTGGTTCGAGTATAAAATCAGTATAAAATATCACATTTTTACGTATAGTGTTTCTCTTTGTAAAATGTATGTGTTTGGTTAAGTCTGATACAACTGGTTATTTCTCATTCTTAATAGTTCTAATTTCTAAAAGTTGAACTTTGATGGTGCGTTTAGTAAAACTTAAATTTACATGCTTATATTACTTTTTAGAAACATTTAATAAGACAAAAATTATGGTTTCTCCAATAAAATGTTTATACTAGTTAGGTTAGGTAGGTACCTAATTATATATTATGCTCGGCACTCGATATGAATTATCAATATATAATATATATTATATATATATAGGTATGATTGATTGAGTACAAACCTTATGTTTCTAAGGTATATACTAAATTTATTTTTTGTGTTGGGTACTGTTTAATATAATATAGTATGAGAGTTAACGTTATAAAATATGTATTATTATAAATATGAACCATGGGCGTAGAATGCATACAGCTACAGCCCCCACAGAAACTTTTGTAGCCACCTAATGGTGTTTACTTTCATTTTTACATTTTATCCAAAATTATAGTTATAAATTTTCTTTTATAATTTTGTAGTCTTATATAGCCCCCACGGATAATTATACCAAACTACGCCTGCTTATGAACCTGCTATACTTAACACTCAGTTATAATATTATAATCTACGGACTTCCAGTATGACACGTTTAGAAAATACTACAAAGACTTCTTCTTTCCACTATACATTAAATTATATATCATAGTATTACATCATAATTAATAGTTACCAAACACTTGCCTTTAATAACAGAAAAATACTGATTTAGTCAAAAATTGTAATCTAGTAAGTATAACAAGTGCATAAAGTATTATGTTTCAATCTAATTTGTATTTACTAACTCCCTTTTACAATAAAAGTTAACTGACACAATTTATGGCACCATCAAAACTTTGTTGCTCTTAAAATTTCGACCCTCGGGTCCATCACCTCCTCCCTTTAATTGCACCATCGACAACTTCACAGTACTTTATTTCACACGATATGACACTACCTACCGTCTGCCCGTATGGACATAGGAAATTGCATAGAATGCCTTGCCCACATTTGGTGAATTAGTTTCTATACATTTCCCGAGGGTTTTATAATTAATATTCTACAACCTTTATATTATCCTTAACACAATGTAATTTAACTAGATACGCATGGTCGAAACTAGAAAATTGCAAAATAAGTTTTTTTTTAAATTTTAAATTCTATTAAGTCAGTGTGTTATCCACTCGGTATTAGGTCGAGCCATAGCCTGACTCGTAGTTTCACCCATGTATGTAGGTATAAACATTGAATGTAAAAAAAACAAACAGATTTGTCTACGATGCTTTGGTACTTTGGTATAAATTATAATAAATGTAGACACATGCTATATGTGTGTGTGTGTATAAAAAATATTATATATATTAAGTATATACATTACCTGTGTTGGACACGATCTGCAAGACGATCAGAGAAAACAAGACAGCCACTAGCGTTGACGTCATCGGGAAAGCGTCGACGGCAGCGCGACGGCAATAGTGATAGCGGTCGCACCGGGACGTCGACCGCTGCAGACGCGACTCCATAACTGGTGTCGTCGCTTCCGTTTGACGGACGTGTAGGTTACACTTATGGTAGCGGATGCGGATCGAAAGCCGTCGGGTTGATGGGTGACAAGCGCGCGCGCGCTCCACCACCGACTAACGCCCGCGGAAAGAGTCTAACGGTTTTTTTTTTTTTTTTTTTTTTTCAATGTCTTCAAAAAGGTCTCTTTTACCGGATACGAAATTTCAGAGCAAAGTTGCGAGACAGCTCTTGCAAGTGCTACAATAATAATAATAATAGAGATAACACAACAATAATAATATTATTGCGACGCCGCCGACGGACTGACAGACGGCAGCGGTACACACGGGGCACGTGACTACGGCTACTAAACGTTGCGGACCGAATAAAACCCGCTACGGCGCGCGAACACTAACAATCGCCGCCGCCGCCGCTGCGCATCGTCTCTCTCGGTGCGCGCCGCCGCCGATGGAAGGTGTGTGTAAATGTGTGTGCGCGCGCGTGTACGTGTGTACGTGTGTGTGTGTGTGTGTGTGTGTGTGTGTGTGTGTGTGTGTGTGTGTGTGTGTCTAGATGACGGTTGGGGGAGGCGACCCGAGCATCCGGTGGCGGTCAACTGTAATAATGATAATAATAAAATAATGTATAATTCCGTCGTAACGACGGCGGCGGTGGGCTGCAGAGTGCAGATACTCCTCTGGTGCTCTCGCTAATCCGGTGTGAGTCGGATAGACGAGAGCTGCAGGTGACCGCCGCGGCCACTGTTGCTGAGGTTAGGCCTCGGTGACGATGGTCCGACCTTAAGCGGAACTCGGAAGTCCGTCACAATTTCCCGAAGGAGAGGGAGAGCAAAGCTAATATTTTTTTTTTTTTATCACACGCGTGAATGAACAGGCCAAAAAGTCTAAAACGACAGAGATACCTATTTGACAAAAAAAAAAGAAGAGGACTGTATCGCTACGAATAGTTCAGGACACTATATTAGATGCATGCCAAACAAATCTAAGTGACTATTTGAAAATCAGAATTTGAATAAATGCTACATTTAAAGGATACAATGGGGATGAGCTTGCTTGCCAGTATAACGTAGCTATACATAACACCTCGTCCAGAGAGTAATATTTATAATAAAATATAATAACAATCAATAACATATTATAAGTTTTTTTTAATTTGTATTATCATAATGTTTATCCGTATGACCAGAAAATTCCAATCCGCTTTCCGACGAATTGTTTTGAATTTCTGAATACTGCAGAATAGTATTCGAAATATTATATTATTTTATAACCCAATACCGAGTCAGTGGAACACTCGCGCATCCAGTATTCCAACTATATCAATCCATACATTTAAATAGGTGAATAAGAGCAGGGTGTATTATAAATACCACCAAAGTATGTAAATACCTAAATGCTTGACATACTAAAAGTATTAGAAAATAACTGATACAAATTAAAGTTCTTAAAAAAAAAACTATAAATCCATTTTTTTTAATTTATAGAGTATAGACTATAGGTAGGTATTTCTAGTTTTAATCACATCTTTGATTTACTTATGAGAAACAATGCATACACATTTTAAGTGACGAATATGTACTGATACTAACGAAACAGTTGCGGTTATATAATTTACAGTTATAAATAGTTATAAGAACGTGTTTTATGATGATACACAAATTCGTAAGTAAGTACCTACATATAGTATAAAGTTCAATATAAATTATTTAATATACGAGTACTTACATAGGTAGTTGCATAATATAAAAGCTATAAGTGTTTAACTTTAATCTTACCTACCTATAATGTACCTATAATGTATAAACATTCATTGTCCTTAGTGAAATTATTTCAATTATAAATATTCATTCAAATGTATTATAAAATAATTATTTTTAAAAAGTATTACATAATAACTGAGTGCGTATACAACTAATATTGTATGGTCCATAATACTATACAAAAAAATGAAAAATGTACTTACATAATTTAAATATCAGAAAATGTCCAAAAACCCATTTCATCTTAATTTACATAATAATAATAATAATAATTATTATTATTATTATTATTATTATTATTATTATGTGTATACGTGTCCCTACTCCCTGCTCTATTATATAGTATAATATATATTTTTTATAATTTTTTCTTGATAATATTTCTCAGTCTTCCCTGTGTTAGTTGAATAGTATAGTATTATTTGATATTTTGATATGATAGGTGTCATAAATGTAAGATCAAATATCACACGAAAGGAAAAAAATGGGACCATCATTATTCCATTGTTATCCAAACATCATTATTTTGAAACGCACAAGTTTTTTTTTAAAATCGGTAAAATAAAATATATTCCCATTGGAGTCGTAATAAAACTATAGCGTTTATAATAATTTATGTATTGGAATATGAATATAGGTAGGTATGTGTAAGCTAAAAAATAAATAAATCTAATTTAATTTAAGGTGAATGGCGATTTTCGTTTATATAATAGATCCTAGATACAGTTGAGTGGTGAAATTACTATGTATAAATGATTTTTAGAACGTGTCAAATTATAGTGAAACTTGAGAAGTATAACTTACCTCGACACTCGTTAAGGAAAAACTTATAATAGTATAATAAAAATTAATTACGTAATATTTTATTGTGATAACTGATAGTAAATGATAGATATTATGCATATTTTGGTTAAAGTTTTAATTAAAGAAAAACTCTTTAATAAAATAGTTGCCGACAAACATCAAACTCTTGTCCTCTCGTCCATTCTTAGGCGATAATAAAAATTAATTGTATATTGTTTTTATAATGAGCACATTGTAATAATATATTATATAAAGTGTAAAATAATGACCAATTAAATTTTATTACGTTTCAAGACATATATAATAATAACAATGATTGTGTGTATATTATTTTTATTGAATATCACATTTTTAAAAAGATCTATATTATTGACTTACAATCATAATCATAAACAAAAATTGTATTTTTCATTCCAAACAATATAACTTATAACTACTCATTAATTTAATCTGTAGTAGGTCTTAAACTACGAACTTGTGTTATTTTATATTCCTAGTAAAATATTATTTACAATACTTTTAAGTTTTGACCCTATACTATTATTACTATTATACAAATAAATTTGTTTTATAAATTGTTTTTTTCAATAGGATTTAGATTAATATAGAAATGTATAGAAAATAATATAAAACGGTAACATATTAAGGTAAAACTATTAAACAAATCTAAAACAAAGATATGTCTTTGAATTTCAAAATGTCAAATAATATTATTATATGTACTTAATGGGAACTGTCATATTATTATTTCAATATTTACTTAAATGACTATTTTAGGTCACAAAATCTGATAATATAAACCTTAAAATTACTTCTATTTAACTCTTTAAACAATATTTATTTATTGTAAATGTATACTAGTAAGTAGGCGAATAATATTATAAAACCTACATTTAATTTGATGAATACAATATCTTAAACAAATAATCGCTTTTAACTTTCACAATAAATTGTATTCTTCCACAACGATAAATCGTAAAAACTGGCTTAAAATAAGAGCCACTCGCAATTTTCATAACAAGTAATTGAATCGATGATATGTGTCGTAAAATTAGGCTGGGTACTTACACGCTTCATTACATATGTTCTACATAACTCTCAATATTTTTGAAATATTATATATGTCAATTTTTTTTTTATCGTAGGTTAATTTGTTATTATTTTAATATCCCTACAAACATAATAAAGGCACATTAATTTTTTACAAATAAATAAATTGCATTATAATTTCATACTTATATTCAACGCATTAACGTTGTTCAACGTTTACATTTTGGACGATTGACTGAAAAATACTAAACAATGCGGCTAAGTACCTTATCGCATGTTCATCAATTAGTTTTAAAGTTTTTTTCTATACATGACTTTGTTGTGATACTAAGTTGTTATGAAAACAAACAAATGAATAATTCTGTATAAATATTACTATAATGTTAAGAGGACGTAATACGGACATTATTTTGTTGTCTCCGTCTTACAAATGCGGAACATGGCAAATTTACGCTCAGCAGGTCACGTTTAGCTTTGTTAGTTTAAAAATTAGAGTGATTCGATCTATTATAAAACTTGACGGTAAGAATATTATCTGTGGTTGTATGTGGGTTATTTAAGATAGTACAATTTTTTTGCAAGTTTTGAGTATATAATATAAGTTATAGTTATATTATATAACGTAAATTAAAAATGCTCATTACTCACTTAAAAAACTCAATTATCGTAAATATCCTACATACAAACACAGATAATGTTCTTACTATCATGTTTCATAATAGTTCGATTTACTCTGATTTTTAAAGTAACGAAGCTAAACGTGATCTGTTTATCTTAAATTTGCTATGTTACGCACTTGTAAGACTGAGACAACAAATGCCCGTGTTGTGTCTTCCGCTTTAATTTATCAAATAAAAATTGTAAATAAAGAAAAGCTAAGATCATACGTGTAATATGCCTATGTAATGACCCACCGAGATATCAAGAAAATTCAGACAATCCCTCTTTACATTTTTGGACCGTGCTCAACCAACAAAATATTTATCTCTTTCGGTAATTTTATCATTTAATATTTTTACAATAAATTATAATCAGATATCTTCTACTTTTTTACATTAATCTCCCAGTGGTGAAGGTCTCCAAGGTGAATCTACCAGTGACTTAGCAAAGTATATGGATTGTAGATAAACTAGTATGGAATGAATGTGTCAAAAACCCTATATACCTATTTTAATTTAAAATTAAAATATCAAAAAATTCCTATTTAAAGAGCTGTACAATATTATTATTTAATTAGATTATACCTAGATAGATTCACTCTATTATTAAAAATTATAAAGTAAACTAGATTTTTCTGAACGTAAAATTGATATATTAACATGTTGTGCGTTATAGTCAACACATTCGGGCATAGGACTCCCTTCTGACTTCCTCTTAATTTGTATT